ATTCAAGTTAATGATAACTGATTTTTACAACTTATACTTATAATACTCATGTGTGTTTGGGGAAACAATTTGCATTTGCTTCAGCCTCATTCCAGACTTTGATGGCATTACAGCAGCAAAAAGCATTCATTTTGGTTGTGACCTGATGACTAAAATATTCTAAAAATGTTTTTTATGTGGGTATTTTTCAACATGGCCAGTTATTCAACTGTCAGAAATTTCATCAGAAATTCTATATCCTCATCCTTGATGGAAAAAATGAGCAAAATATCATAGAAATTTGAATGTTCTGCTACGGTTTCACGAAAACATCTACTGCAGATCTTTATCCCCTCATCTTTCTGACATGTCAGTGTTTGCACTTCTTGTACTCGGCACTATCATGCTATTAAATTTCTCTTTCCTCCTACTTGTGTACTTCATATGTGTGTTGTGAACAATTTCCCTATTTCCTTTCTCCTTTGTCTTTCTCACTGCCTCACACTTTTGCACATAAGTGGCTCAATCTTGTTGCAATTTTAGCAATTACGACCTAATCTTTCAAACTTAACTGTATTTGTGTGTTACAGCTTTTCGATCTTAATCTCTGAATGTTGAAAGTCTGGAACTATAATCTCAGCCCCCAAAATATTTTTTGCACACTTTTGGAAGCAGAATTTGAAGCAAGTCATTAGCTTCCGTCATGATAAATAATATATTATCTGTATACAGCAAAGAGGCATTTTTTTCAAATGTATAACTAGAGACAGAGTAGAATTAACTAAAGCTTTGAGCATTTTCAGTGGTTTCATATACCCTTAACTTATTATCGCTGATTAAAGATACAGCAATCACAAAACATTTCCTTACCTTTTTAGTGTTCCTGTTTTCTATTGAGAAACTATACACATTAATAAACTTTTTTGCTTATTTCATGTAGAAATAGCATTTGATTGACATCAATCTCTCTCTCTCTCAGTCTAGTTACAGCCATAATTATGCAACAAACACCTTTATTATAGTTACCAGTTCAATTAAATTAAATTCAGTTTAGTTTATTCAGAAGTCAGCTTAAAATACAAGTAAAAAAAATGTTAACATGCAAAATAGTTATTTATGAAATTGGACTAAATAGTGGCCCAGGCATCAGATGATATGCATGAAAAATATAATAATAATAATAATAATAATAATAATAATAATAATAATAATAATAATAATAATAATAATAATAATGAATAGCGCTTTTCTAGGCACCCAAAGCGCTTTACAATTCCACTATTCATTCAATTATATACATTTGTCCTCTTGGCCAAGTCTCACTTGGAAAAGAGATTTTAATCTCAATGAGACTTTTACCTGGATAAATAAAAGATCATGAAAAACAAACACAACCTTCTAACATACAATGTCTTATTAATTCAAATATCGTCATATTAATAATACTAATCTAACACACGTAGGCAGTGATAGTGTTAGCACATGATAATAGTATTAAAGTATATAAAGTAAGTAGTTTATTAAAGTATGAACTTAAAATATAGTGCTATTGCAGATTTTGAAAGATCTTTGCTATACAGGGTTCAAAATCAAACATATTTTAGTAGCAGCTGTTGTATATAAGTTCTTTTAAATACTGAAAAATATTGATGTTTTTAAAGTGCTTCCAAGCTCATCCCAATTCTGTGGACCTCTACAGGTCACATGTAAAATTGCACATTTAAGTTTACATTTCTTTCTCTTAAGTATTGTCTTTTTCCTTGTCCTGTGTGTGTGAGAGGGAAAGTGTATTTGGATAAGCTCACAAACTTGCTAAATACTATAGTATGCAGATTACAGGCAATATGAAAAATGCTACATTCAGTTGACTTCAGGAGTTTGTGACAATGAAAAAGATAGTTAGAGAGTTATCCAGTCACACAGTTTACAGCATGACTCTGTCTACCTTTAATCTGATGAGAGCTATATAGAAGCTTGTTTCTGCCACTGAAAAAAGCAAAAACAAAATAGTTTTACTTTTTTTTTTTTTCAAAAAAACATTTATAGTCCCAATTACAGGTTATCATCTCAAAATTTTGATTTTATAACTTAAAATTTCAAGTTATTTTCTCAGTTTCAAGTTGTTGGTTTTTTTCCAGAAAAGTTATTAAATTAAAATTTTGACATACTTACGTGTAGCTAAATGTTTTGTTTGTTTTTATTGCATTAAAAACACTATTAGAGTGCCTTTAGAAATAGACCCATAACATAAATACTTGTTCAAACTAAAAAAAATAATAAAAAAATAAAATAAGTAATTTAAAAAAATTGTAATTCTTATGCAAATTCTAGAGGCAGAGGAAATAGTTCCAGTAGTTCCAAGTTTTTTCCCCTGTCTTTTCAATGGCATTAACACTGTACTTGTTTCAAGGTGCTTGAACCAGCAGCAGGTAAGTTCGGAAATCTTCTTCATTTAGTCTGAATAATTCCTAAAATTCAGATATATATGAGTGAAATTGTCCATTTGCTACTAATATTGATATTAACCATGTCCATTTGTTTTCACTAAAACATTTTAACAGGATTCATAGAAAAAACAAATAAAACCTCAAAATATTCTACAAATCTGAAATTGCTTTGTAATGTGGAATCTGCACTTTTTAAAAGACAATGTAAGGCATATTTAATCAATCAAAAGAAGATGGAAAAAGGGGGGGGGGGGACGACCTCAAAACACTAACCATTAACACTACTTCTGCCCTTGCTCTGTGGAAGTGTAAAAAGGAAAATGTAATAAAATGACCAAACAATGACATAAAAAAATATCAAAGAACAGACAGTCAAGATGGATTTGGTAAAGTAATAAAGTATCTTTACTTTAATTTATTTCACAGAGCTAAAGACATAAACATGAACAAGATTTCAAATGCATCAATGTATTCCTTCTTCTGTGTGCAGAGACACAAGTATACCAGCAGAGCAATTATAGCTACACTTACCACAGGTGTGCAACATCAAATACATGCATTGCTTTCTTTAGCTTCTGCAGGCAATATTGAGTAAACCATTTCTGTTGAGGCATCACCCACGAAGTACAAAGTGCTCTCGTGGGCTGTTAAAACACTTTTCTAAGCAAGGACAGATGCAAGAAATAAAAAAGTTTAAAAAGACTCAGAACAGAACAGCTAGAGTGAAGCCACAACAATATCAAATATACAACAATGCTTGACAAGAAAGACAGCATTATAGGTCAACTCAAGTCAATCACAAAAACAGGGTTCCTAATTTCGAGCAAAGGTAATGACTTAAGAAATATCAGAGGTCTAAGTCCTTATTTAGACTTTTATACCAGGGTAACTGGTGCAACTCAATCCTACATGCTGTTCTTTATTTGAGGCATTTGATAGTATTCCCACCCCTAGCATCGAAACTAATAGTTTCAATACCTGACACTCTTAGGGCTCAAACATTCACATAATGGTAATGTTTTGTCATAGGACAATTCAAGGATAATCTTTATTCAGTAAGTCTTTTTTTTATTTTAGAGAAGAGTAACACACATTTTATTAAACTTAAAATATGAATATACTTCAAAAGCATTAGCTCTCCAGGTTTCAGAGAAGCCAGATGGTGGCAGCAGAGTCTGCAATGCTGCTGTCACTCCAGCCAACAAGTTTGTGCTTTTCTTTTAGGGATTTGGTAGAAGTCGTTCGCTGAGCCTGCCTCAGAGACTGAGTTCAATGCCTTCTCCTGGACATCTGTCACCAGTGAGCACACCCGGGGTACTGCCAATACAGAGGCAAACATCATTCCAAGAAAAAGTCCACAAACCACTTACACCATGGGAGGCAGCATCAAGAAGCCCTATTGGCTCTGTGGATGAAGCCTTTTTGTTTCTCCCCTCATCTGCAGCTACTAATGCCAAAGCTGCAAAGCACCGGGGATCTCTGCCAGAGCCTCCAGAAGAATGGAAACGCAGGGTATCTCTTGATCCTGCACCTGTCAGTAAGAGTCATTATCATCATGAGGCCCCAGCTTTTCACATTCTTACCAAGAGCAGGACATTCTCACCTGAGAAACCAGCCTTCTATGGGCCTCCCTTCAGACCTGCCCAGCCTCTTAGGGCCAGTATTGGGCAAATGGCACAAGGCTTCAGTCCAACAAAGTGCTCTCCTGTGTACAGTGCATTTCAGCGAAGTTAATAGATGAAGTCAGATATCAGAGAAAGAGAAATAATAAATGATATTAACATTGTAAGGCACAGATTTTCCTTCAGAATATAGAAAACATGAAATGCAGAGAATTGTTATTTGTCACTAGGAGATGGAGTACTGTATGTCGAAAAATGAGGGTAAGGCTTTGGCACAGTTTAAGCCATTTGTTATGTTGGTTTTGCATTTATGACGGGATGGATAATTATGTTGATTGCATGAAAAAATCATTTGGTTTAAAGCAAGAACATACTGTGACGATTGTGTGAGATATGAGCTCAGCTTTCATGGGAAATGTTGCTATTGTGCCACCAGAGTGTCATCCAAACAGTATTATATCACTCATCCTATAATAATCAGATTTTTTCTCAGTAGTAATGCAGTGGCGATTACACAAGTAACCATTTCCAATTATTTCATTCACTTTATTGACTTTTGTGTTTTTCAGACATCATATGGTTCCTATTTTATCTTTTGCAATGCATTGCCAGAAAAGTTGTAAGCTTACAATCAGTGTGTGTGCCTTAAGGAAAGTG